TTTTCTGTGCAAAACGTAAAGGAAATGCGTCAAGAATAAATCCAACTTAAGGCTCAGCTGTGTTTGATGCACGTACGTATGACCCCAGCTCCAGGTAGCGGCGTGTGCTGCAGAAGCCTGAAAGGTATAGTGGAGGATGTTCTTTTTCCGGGTTGATCATCAAAATAAGTGGTCCTCCTAATTGTCAATCATTCTGGTGATATGTTAACGTAAGGCCGTCCTACTTGCCCATTCCCTCTAATGACCCTCGTTCAGAGACATAGACAGGTATTGGATATTACAGGCTAAAGGGGCGGGCCCGTTTGCTCAATTTGCATGTTTTCTAAGAGAAAACAAGGCTTTTTTGGTCCACTCGATGAAGCCTCAAACTCAGCACTATTTCTGACATTTGTAATTGAAAAAGCTTATTGGATGGGAAGCGAAACATCTACAAACTGGGAAACAAAGTCAAATAAATAGTTTTTTTTACTTTTTTTTTTTTTTTAGAAATACGTGCTCATCCCGGTGGTGAGTTTAACATAGTGTAAAAACTACAAATCTTTTGGAAAGTAAGCTTGTATGAGCGATGCAAACAGCAACTTTTAAACAGAGTGAGCACGAGGAGAAATAGGCTCATGCAAACTCTCGCAAACGTTTAATAGGCGATCCGTCTGGGAAGCGGGTAGATGTCCTTTTTCCTGTTTTTTTTCAAGTGGAGAGGTTGGGTCTTTTTCAAAAAAATGTGAAAACCCCCCACTATACCTTTAAGCTTTACAACAACCCACTACATGAGGAAGTAGAAAACAGACGTTTCCCACTTTTTCAAAGCCGCTTCTTGTCATCCATGCTGTATTGTTTTTTTTATTTTACCAAGTGTGTGTGGTGGTATATAGTCTAATGTATGTGGTATAATGTGTCCGTTTTGATCATGTTTAAGGTATTAGAAAATAATTAGTCACCCACAAATTCAATTCAGTTCAAAGTTTAGTAGGAGTGGTGGCCTAGTGGTTAGGGAATAGAGTTTGGAAACCTGAGGTTCTGAGCTCGAGCCCCACTCCCACAGACTGCCACTCTGGGTCGCTGAGCATGACCCTAAACCTCACATTGCTCCACGGGCACCCCACAATGGCAGCCCACTGCTCTCCAAGGGGATGGGTTAAATATAGAGGTAAATATCTCCAATGTGACATCAATGAAGTTCAATTATTAATATTATTAATTATTATTTTAATCCTGTAGCTGTAATCTTAGATATTTGAGAGAAGCCCCAAACTGCGGTTTTTCTCAGGTTTAGTCTGCTCCTTTATTGAAAATCTATACAGTTGCAGTGTGTGTCTTCTGCTGCTCTGATCAGACGTTTCTCTGCTTCATTTTTGTCGCTGAAAAGCCCCCAGAGGGATTCCACGGTGCTGAAAACATCCTGGCTCAGATTAATCATTTCCATTCACTGAAACTCATTTCCTGATTCCTAACTCGTGTGTTTTCTTTAATTCTCTTTGCCTCGATGACGTTACCTGTGTGTGAGGGGTGGATGCATCTCTCCAGCCGCTGAAAGCAGAGCTAATTTCACCATGCAGACATCTTGACGATGGGATGAGAATATATCTGGGTCCCGCTGTGTTTCTGTAACAGTGTGTTGATGGACTCCTGTCCTACATGCAGCAGCCTAATGGTTTTGTCTCGCCTTTGCAGTTTTTGATGACGGCGACGAGAAAACCCTGAGGCGTTCTTCTCTCTGCCTGAAAGGAGCGCGGCACTTTGCAGAAAGCGAGGCAAGTGGTGTGCTGGCCTTCAGTTTATTAGCTCGCTTTGACAGGGGGAAACAAATCTTAAGACATGAAGCCATGAATTTTATTTTTCACAATTAAACTAAAGATTATTGCCTTATGATTACACACTTTTTTCTCTCTCTCTTTGTGGAAAAATCTATTTTTAACTAATGAAATCCTGTGAACAGATTTCATGTCATGTCAGTGAATCCTTTTTTAGATTCTAATTGCTTTGAGAGGCAGCTGAGGCTCTTTGTTTTGTTTGGTTTAATCCACAGACACTCGACAGACTCCCTTTAACAAACCCAGAGCACTTTGGCACACCGGTCATTGGCAAGAAGGGCAACCGTGGTCGCAGGTCAAACCCTATGTGAGTATTGCCCTCCACCTCAAGCTTGTTTCTGACAGCTATGCTGCTTTTAAAGGTTTTCTAACAAAACAAAATCTGCATCTTTTCTTAAACCACTAAGTCAGAGCCTTGCAGATCCTCCTTTGGATGCAGTTTGGGTTTTGTCTCTACTAGATTGTCTCATTTTAAAGTTAAATTGTTGCCTATTTTCTGTAAAATAACTGAAGTTCAGTGAAAACCAGATGAAGAAATGAATATATCAGTAAAGTTTTGCTTCTGATTCTGGCTGCTCTGTGTTTGGTTGCGTTGCCAGGCTGAATCTTACCTTTTTCTCCCTTTCTGTTAGTTCAGATCCTCTAGTATGTTGGTTTTGGGGTTTTTTTTGCTATTCAAATCCCATGATGTTTGCCTGCTCCTGGAAATATCCTGCTTTTCATTTAGGAATAGCCACTGCTTAGGGTTTATTTGAGGATAATTCCCTTTTAAATAGGACACTTGGCTACATTATCTTATTCTCCTTTATAATTGCCCCCACAGAGCAGTCAATATTAGCCTAAACGCTGATGGCCTATTGATTCAGAATAGCCGCAGTTGGGAATTAGCACCTTTGGCTCTGTTATCCCTCTGTACACCACTGATGTTTTATTTCATGAATTGCAAAGGTTGACTTCGCCGCTTGAGCCGATATGATCGGTAACAAATACAGTGGCAGAGCTAAAATATTTACCCTTAACGTACCGCCTGCAACAGCTGTCAGTTAGTGTTGGATCCTGTTTCCTAAATAAATGGTAGTTTCGCTTCCATTAAGTCATTATAGTGCTTTGTTTATGACTTAAAGTCACAGCTTGTTGTTATTGTTGTTGTAGCGGCAGCAGCCTGACTGATTTACTGCTCTCTCTTCGTGCCAGACGCCGTGTTTATATGTACACAGAGCTGGGCTAGTGAGGCATAAAAAGAGGACAGAGGATCTGTTTGCCTGCTGGTGCTGCTTGCATGATCACTCAGAGATGTGGCGTTTGGTCTGTCTGTCTGCAGCCTGCAGGACAGAGAATCAGGAGGACTGTTGGAGAAGGAGCTCAGAGCATCAGCATGCTGATCCTAATGAGTGAGCTCGTCAGTAGTGTTTCACTCTGCTACACAGTGATAAGAACACTAAATACGGAGCTAGACTGTTGTACTCAAGACTGTTCATGTCGCTCACTTAGAAACTGGATAAAGAGATTGTTGGTTTGGGTGACAAAGGCTTCTTCCCGTTTTAAAGAGAGAGAGCCTGACAGAAGTTATGAGTTTTTTGCTTTTTTACTGAGAAATGTGATGATGCTCACTGTTTTGCAGGGTTGTGTTGTATTGCATGGTTACTTAATTATGCTGTTTACTTCAGTCGATCTGTCCGGGATTTTATCTGATGTACCAAAACAAAGTGGTGCATTATCATGAAGTGGAAGGGGACATTTTTTTTTTTGCTGATTTAAAAGTCCAATATGCTTAGTTTGTTTTTTGTATCAAGCCACCTATGCTCTGAAAACAGCCCAGTGCCATCGATTACCTTTTGCAATCATCCAACTGCTAAATAAAGCCCAATTGTGAGTAGGGTTGTCACGATACTAAACTTTTCAACTCGATACCGATACTAAGTAAAATATTCGATATTCAATACCCTTTACGATACCACAAGAAAAAAAACGACTCTAAAATTCAACAGAAATATTTCATTACTAAAAAAATACAAGAAATAAATAAAAAAACAATAAGAACAAAGCAAACGAGATAAAAAACTTACAAAATAAAAAATAAGTGTTCCTTCGTTGGCTATCTTTTGCAGACATAACAATGACACTAGCCAAACCAGCTAAACAAAAATAATTCTCAGCAGCTGCACCTGTTACAAAAAAAGTCTGAAACTGAAAAATGCACAGAATTATTCAATCACACAGTGTTCTGAAAGTGCATTTTTCACTATTCTGCACTTTAGATTAGCCTGACGTAGTCCGACTCAATTCTAGTCAGAATATGAGTCTGATACTGCTCCATAGAGCTGTGATTATGGGGCGTGTTTCGAACGAACCAGGAAAAAAAATGCCTCTGCACTCAATTGGATAGACCTACAACCAATAAGAGCAACGGAGTGCGTGACGTATGTTAAGCGAGGCATAGTTGTTGTCCACAAAAATCAAAGCGTGCAGTTGCACGCCTAGAATATGAAGATGAGACTTGGTCGCGTTTCTCTGTTCCTCTTTTAAAATTAATTTGCTGTCGATATCTTCTAGAACAGACCTAATAGCAGAATCTACTCACCTAAACTCTCCAGCGGCAGCCATTATTGTTGTCACCCAAGCGCGCATTGGTCACGTGGTTGATTACGTTACTGTTGGTCATCTGTCCATCAGCGTATAAAGCCCGCCCTGACAATTTGATTGGATCGCCTGACAGTGGGCGATAATACTCGCGCTACTATGGAGCAGAGCCAGACCGAACTTCCCAACCTCAAACTTTGTGGGCGGGACTAAGTTCGGAATGGCACCCAGGCTAACTTTAGATGGCTGTATCGATACTTTTGAAAATGAGTATTGTATCCGGATTTTTTTTGAGTATCGATACTTTTGACAACCCTAATTGTGAGTAATTTAAACCCCTTATTTTAGTTGTTTGTTGTAGCATCATGGAGACCAGGGGACAGAGTGCTTGGCTCAGGGAGAGTTTAAATCAGGAGTAGATTATAGAGCCGAAAGCCTGGTTTATGCTCAGAAACAAGGTCGTCTGCGTATGATCGTCGCAGTTAACGCAGATATCGCATCTCTCCAAAATTGTAGGTGACTGCAGACAGTTCCGCAGATGGCGTTGCAGGGAGGAGAGAAAGGACCCCCCTGATTGGTCAATTCTACATCCACTCTATAGTATGCTTGTTTCCTGTTTGGGACCTAATAGCAGAAACTCGGACACTATCCCAGGCACCGTACCAGACGCTAGTTTGTAGCTCAGTGCGACGGTCTGTTGGTTTGCACCTGAAGCCAAAACACTCCATGAAAAGTCTTTCACGGGTGAACTGTGTGTCGTCCGGCGTAGAATGAGGGGTTGTAGACGGCGAAAAAGCTTGTCAAACCGACACACGGACATCCACAATCCTAGCTAGTTCGCGATTATCCCTCTTGCGTTGTGGCGTGGAATAACATAGCACAGACCACGCTTCAAAATTGGGCATAAATCAAAAATATCTGTGACAAGCTCACTGCGACACACTGCTGCAGGAGGATAACCAGCCCTTTATGCTGAGCTTTGAACATCATTGAATGAAATGAGGGAGTATGATGCAAATGAAGACGTAATAAAAGATGCCATTCCAGCTAAACTCACAGGCTGGGCCCGAGCAGCCTAGAGGCTTCTATCAGCTCTCTGGAGGAGCTACTCCTTGGTCCAGCTCAGGACCGAGGAGTCTGACCACTACCGTAATTTT